ACCAAGTGAAGAGCACCACATAAAGGCAGGATCTCCAAAGATGAGGACATCTTGCTGAATCAGTGACATCACAGTGTGTGAAGGGAGAATGTGAGGATGCTTGACTGTCTTGGCCATGGCTTTGGGTATAGCAGACAGAAAAGGAAAAGTCCTCATTCATAATTTCTAAACACAAATCCTCTTTTAAGCAGATTAGGGGTCAAAGCTTAAGTGTAAGCTGTGGCCCTAAAGGCTTCAAGCTGAGGCTTCAGCTGGTAGTGGTCCCCGATGTGTAGTCCCCAAGTACCTCGTAGAAGGAAACACAAACTCTGGAGCAAAGAGCCTTGAGACCTATCCACAGAGACTTTCTTCAAGTTCAAAAAAATATGAATTTAGAGTCTCAAAATATCATAAAGTATTTGAGCAGGCAAGTCTACAGTATTGACATTAAACAGGAAGACGGACAAATGATGGATGCCCACAAAGACCATATATACAGGACTAATCGGGAAGGAGAATATAAAATAATCATGTTTATAGTGTTCCAGAGACAGTTTTTGAGATGAATGAGTCAAAGAGCAGATTCAGTGAAGCTGGAGAGCAAATTGTTAAAACGGAACATTGATATGAAAAGATACTCCGAATTTATTGTATTGATAGAGAGAAATTTAAAAAATATTAAAGTAAAGGTAAGAGATATGGACAACAGAGTAAAAATAAATAAGTTTAATAGGAGTGTTATGCTTGTCTTTGCTTTCTTTCGGGGGAAAGGAGGAGAGGCAACACCCAGAGAGACAGTGGCTTACAGTTTTCTGAAACTGATGAGATACACCAGTCTGTAGTGTCAATAAATTACACGTAAAAGAAATAAAAGTAAATCTAAATGTAATTCAGGAGTGTACTGTGGAAGGGAAGTCTCCTCCTTTATTAGCATGCTAAACTTTTTTAAAAAGTTTCTGGTATGCAGATGTTCTCTTGATAACATCTCTCCTCCAAATTTTTCTGTTTTATCAGCAAATCACACCAAAAATGTCCAAAGGGTGTATGTGGTATTGGTAGTGGTCACCTCCGTCTTCATTGTGAGATGGTCACCAGAAATCACATCATTATGTGCTTTGTACTTTGCTTTTTTCAAACCCACCTGTGGTTAAATCATAAGCATTTTCCATATTGTTAAATGGCTGTTATAATTATTGCTTTAATGGCTTTATTGTAACTCATCAAATTTATTCCATTATAATTTCCTTAGCCATTTCTTCCTTACTAGATATTTAGTATTTTATTTCCTTCAAATTTTGAGTATTACATATAACTTTGACACAGTATATATATTTTATGCCTATAGCTTCACTTTTATTTTGAATCAGTCCCTCAGGAAAAATTCTCAGAAGTGGCATTACCATGTCAGATGTCATTGCATTTTGATATGTGCCAGCTTTTATCATAAGAGTCAGCACTATGTATCATAAATTTGAATATATTTCTACCCATTTGCTGGGTGTAAGAGGCATTTTTATTTAAATAATAAAATAAAATATTTTTTCCATGCTTGGTTATTAATTCCTTTTCTCCTTTTGCTCACCAATTATCAATATATATACTTTTTAAACATGTTTGTGGACCCTGTGTTTATCTTACCAATATGTAATTTTCTTAATTAACACAAATATTCCTCCCATATCTATGGTACTTAAAAATTGTGTGATGGTGAGGGTAGTAGCCAATTATGGAGACAAATGTACATGTGAATCAACTGTCTGGCTCCCCTAACACTCATTTCTAACACTGTTCTCACTTTCCTTTCTCTTTTAAAGTAGTTGAACAAGCAAAAATTCTGATTTCAGCTCCCAGACCATTGTAAAGCTGGAGTTGGCTCTATTACACAGCTCTGGCCAATAAAATATAAGCAAGAGTGTGCTGGTACCTCCATTCTCCATTTTCTCTTTCTCCTTCCTTGAATGATGTGCTGGCTGGAGCTACAGCAGCCTCCTTGCAATTGTGAGAAAACCTGGAGAATGACAGATATGGTAGTCCTGATTTTCTTAGGGCACTGAAATAATGCCATGAACTTTCTACCTGAAAACTTATCATGGAAAATAAAACTCCATTCATGTTAAAGTCACTATAGTCAGTCTTTCTGTTACTGGCTGTGGAGAAAAAAATCGTAATTAACACATATAGGCTGAGAGGAGAGGAGAGTTGGGTCTCTGTTTTAATAAGACTCACTTTTAAAGTAGCCCAAAGCCAGATTCATTTATGAACTTGTGACTGTAGACTCATGATTACTGATGCAAGCAGATCTCAGGCTTTCTAAATTTTGTCTACCTGTTTTCTGGATCATATCCAGAGATGTGAATGCATCCCTGAAGCAAAAATGAAGTATTTCACTCTTCATGACATTTGGCAGTGGCGGAACATAATTAAAGGCATTCATACACTTGCAACCCAAAAAAGCGAAGTTCCACTTGACAAATAGGATGTGTATCCAAGAGACGGTACGTTCATGCTGCTCCATAGCCATCCATGTAAGGCCATTGCTTATCCATTTCTCATATTTTGAAGATAAGCTATATAATAGGCTATTGGCTCCATGCCAGGAATCATGCTCGGTCCTTGCCTTTGAGGATTTCACTTCTAGATTGTGTATGGCGGTAAGAGGAGACTATCCATATCAATAAATTTTTTGGATACTGGGTGAGAGTAAAAAGAGTGTATTAAAGAAAGATTCATAATGGAGATCAAAATGGACTAGGTGATTTACTCAAGACCACAAAGTCAGTAAGTGGTACAAGTTCCTTTAATACAGGTCTTCTCAACAAGTCTTTTTTTTTTTTTAAAGATTTTATTTATTTATTTGACAGAGAGAGATCACAAGTAGACAGAGAAGCAGGCAGAGAGAGAGAGAGAGAGAGGGAAGCAGGCTCCCCGCTGAGCAGAGAGCCCGATGTGGGACTCGATCCCAGGACCCTGAGATCATGACCTGAGCCGAAGGCAGCGGCTTAACCCACTGAGCCACCCAGGTGCCCTCAACAAGTCTTTTTTAGAATACCAACCATTGCTTGAAATAAATGGACTGATATTTGGGATATGGAAATATTTTTTGTTATAAAATTGCTATCGTTTTGGCTGTTTTTTATAGAAGCTGACTTATACCATGGTGTTGTGTTGCCCCTGACCTATCAAGATGGCTCATGCAATGAGATTTGTTTCCACCAAGGACTTGTCCTTCTTTTGACCTGTATGTTCTCTGCTATATGCTGGGGTTACACATATGTATCAGGCATCCTGCCTGCCTTGAGGGGCCGTATTTAGTTCATATTCTCCTTGTTTACTCTTTCTTGCCACCAGCGAGGTGGCTGATTGAGGAGGAGGGCATGGCCTTCGCTTTGTAACTCCCCACTCAGCTGACCATTCTAGAAGGAAGAAGAACAGCCAGGAAAATAAGGTGTAAGAACAAGGTTGGAACTTTAGCTCATGGAAAGAGACTGAGATGTTTCTCTCTTTAAACAGTGATCTTTTCTACCCACTTAAGAAAACTTGTTAAACATCTGTCTTCCCCTCCCATTTCTGTTGTTTACAGAAGAACAGACTTCCCTTAACTCTGAAGCAGTGTCTCCTTTCTTTAGGAAAACAGATGTCCAAACATGCAGCAAATCAAATTTTCAAACAACTTTGAAATAAGCTGAAATAGACCTACTTTCCTTTATCCTTTTACCTAGAAATTCTTTTGTGAGGCTGATAAATTCCCAGTTTGGAATTTTGTTTTCCGTTGTGATGCTTATGACCAATTTTTTGGATTTTTACTATTACATCTCTGTTTCCTGTATCACTGCTATTTGTATATGAAAATCTCTTTAAAAAATAATATTCAACTATTAATAATTTTTCATTGAAATGAAATGTATTTATAGAGATAGAGAACTCAGGACCACGTTGAATTCTGTCATATTAGATATATTTGCTAGGCATAAGGAAGGAGAAATTGAGCTGATATTGACCAGCATTTTGTAGACCCTGGAATATCACCACATGGCCAAGCGTGTGGAGGGAAGAATTTTAATCTCATTTTTCAGATGAGAAAATTAGAGCTAATAGTGTTCATTAAGTCCAAGATCACACAATCAGAAAATGGTGAAGTCAGGATTCAAACCCAATTCCTATCTAATTTCAAAAACCATGCAATTTGTACTTCATTATGTAATGGGGTCCTTCCTAGTTTTTGTACAACACTTTGTTGAAGAGTCAACTCATGATTCACTTGCTAGTCCCTATCACTGTGCGCTCATGGATAAACTATCATCGCCATGGGTCTAACTCTCCTTTCCCTGTGTAATGGATGAAATAGCAACACCTACCTCATATAACTTTAATAAGTATTCATTGAATTAAATGCATGTGAATGGGCTCAGAACAGCATGTGGCACCTAGTAAATGCTCAATAAAATTGTTTATTATTGTAGGTTGCTTCATGGGTAATAGCATAGAGTGAATATCATGGCTTTGTTCTCATGTACTATCACAGTACAGATTAAATAAATGCTGGTGTTGTTGTCCTTAAGTTTTGGTATTTATATATGAAGGATCTCCCTCATTCTTGTCCACTGGTTGACAGATTTATGGAAAGGAAAGGGCATCTCTTAATACAGTCATTTACAATCTTTTGTTTCAACAGTGGAACCCTTTTTAAAAATACAAATGGAAGCACTGTTGTTTTGATTAAAGAGGGGAAAGTGACTCCTGGAATGCCACATACCTCTCTGCCCTTCAGGACCCCTGCCAGCGCATTATTGTCCTTGGTGGGGGGGTTCCTTCTGGGAAACCCTGGTTGACACATAACGCAGACTGAGAACTACCAATCCAGAAAGCACCCAGCAAAGCCCATTAGACAGGGGCTGATAAATGCTATTAATTCTCAATTTCTGTGATAGTCATGTGTCCAGGAGTTCTCCCTCTCTATTCCAAATTGTCTTCACTCCATTCCCATTATATAGTCTCTTCTGATGGTTTTATTTACCTGGCAGGGTCTCCAGTTTGGCACCAGTGAGCTGGAGGAGATGGGAGCCATGTTCTGCTTGAGTTTACTCATCTTGGAACTCAAGTCCGTAAGCTGCAGCCATCAGCTCCTTACCCGGGCCACGACTCTCCTGAATGCGGTTGAAGAAGCCCTGGACCACCACCTCCAACGGTAAGTCGCTCACAGCGATGGGAGGGAGATTTGGACCTTGGTGTTCCGATCGGAGCCCGTCTTGGAGATGAAAGCCAAGTGGTCCTACAGGTCTTTGACGAGGAGACCATATGGAGGAGCCGCCAACTGAAGGTAAGGACAGTGGTGGTCTACTGGAGCCAGACCCGGGGCATCCTCACTTCTTGCTGAACACAGGGAGAATGGTGCCTACTTGTACACATAAAAGCATATATAAAGCTATGTGTATCTATAAACATGCATTATTCATACATTTTGCTTATGGTAGAGAAGAGGCAGCTTAGCGAACACACACACATCGACCTATGTGACTCTTGCCAGTAGTGTGTTTGTATGTATACAGGCATCATTTCAGAGCCATTACTCAGCAAAAAAGGGCAATCTCATGGCCAACATCTAGGAACTTGGGGACAAGAAATATTTGACTCTCCCTGTTCTTAAAAAGCACTGTTCCTTGTCAGATCATGAGAAGAACCACCTGACGGTGATTTATATATTGGCCTGGAGACCCTGACTCAGGGCCACTGCAGGGGAATGAGGGATCTCCAAGAACTGTGAGGATCATTCATGGTGTTGAGTCAAGAGAGGGAGAGCCATTATCCAAATGAGCTCTTTCGATGCCCTTTACTATAGACAGATATTTTAGACTTGATCAAAACAGAAGCAGGGGGCAAAAAAGAAAGATAGAATGGCCGTGTGGGAGAAGAGAGGACCAAGAAAAGAGGAGTCAAAGAAGACTAAGTCATTGGCCATGCTTTGAGGCAGGGAATGGATGGGGCCTTGAGCTGCTGGGGGAGGAAGTGGCTGCTGGTAAACCAGGAAGCATCTCCTCATGCCCTTCCCGTCCAAAGGCAGAGAGCAAGCCATTGATACTGGGGCTGTTTTATTTCTAGCATATTTTCATTAATCTTCTTCCTGCCTCTGTGAGGCTGCGGTTCCAACGTGACTTCTCACCAAATGGCCAGTCAAGCCTGGAAAGATCTAGCAGCGTAAATTAATTTTGCTTTGGAAGGTCCTGGTTTCTCTGAGACTTAATTACCTAAATGCAGTAATTAACTTACTCATCACACTGTACTGTAGATCACAGACCATGGAGACCTAAGTAAATCTGGACCTCTTTCCTCCCTCGAGACACTGGCCCTGATTTCTTTTGTTTTGACATCATCCCGACTGCTGTCCGCCCCTGCTCCCTTCAGTCCCGCTCAGCACCCCCAGGCGTGGCGCGTTGGGCATCACTGTGGAGGGTCAGCGTCTTCCCTCTGACAGCAAGTGCTTCCACCTGCCAGGATACATATTTCAACTTGTCTTTTCATCTTTTCCTTTGCTAAGCTATGTTGGGTGCAGGCATGCCTGAATTTTCTTTCTTTCTCCCCCCCACACCCCACCTTCTTCTCTGCGGCTCATTGAGGGAAGATTGAGCAGACCTGGCATTGCTTGCTTTCCCTGAATTGATTGCGCCCATCTGTTTGATCCAGGGCAGTGAGGATTAGCCCGTCTGTTTGATCCAGGGCAGTGAGGATTAGTTGCCTGCAAACTGGAACAAGAGGAAATCTATCAAACAAGTGCCTCTTCTAATTCAAGTCTAAAGAATTTGGTGTTGAGCTTCAAATACAATGGCTGCTGTGTGGGTTGTCGTAAGAAGATGGTATTTCCCGCTCCTCCCTGCCACCCCAGACTCCTGTTAATGTTTCAGTCGCAAGCAACGCATGCGTCCTGAAGCTTGAAATCCTCCATGACCTCTGGCCCTCCTTAGGCTGGTGCAGCTTCTTAAGGGCAGGATACCTACACGCAGGATGTGATTCATGTGTGTGTGTTATTTATTATTTTATTTTTTTCATGTGTGTGTTTTAATTAGATTTGAATTCAGTTTAAGAGGCACTGAGTTTGGGTGCCGACAGCAGGATGGAATTTGCCCATTTCACCCAAATGTGTGTCTCTCAATCCGTCTTTCTGTTCATCCAGGCAGTTGATCAAAGTAGATGTGGTTCCTGCCCAAAGGACCCAAAACTACCTGAGAGGAAAATCACCGTGAACCTATCTTGACCCAGTAAATATTCTAGCCAATAAGCGTATATCCATTAAAGGATGGCAGAGGGGAACTTAAATCTGTTGGTTTGCAATCAACAGCAGGCTGTTCGAGTACCCTTTGATTAGTTTCTGATGAATAGGGCTCCATCACAAGATATAATAATCAGGAAAGCCAAGCAAATCCTAGGGATTCAGTTAGCAACAGGGCTCTCCCTCTAATACGAAGGGTGTGACTAATGTTTATCAACACCGCACTCCATATGGTTTCAAGAGGAGAGGTCTGCCACCCCCCTCCCCACCTGACCTTTCCTTGGGCATGCTCTGTAGGACAGGCTTGCAGACTTCAGGAGGATTCTTTTTTAGTTGCACAGAAGGAAATACTAGGGAAGGTAAAGGGCAGGTTTTTACCTAAAACTCTGTCTTTTTTTTTTTTTAAGATTTTTTTTAAATTTATTTAATTGACAGAGAGAGAGAGATTACAAGTAGGCAGAGAGCCAGGCAGAGAGAGAGGGAGAAGCAGGCTCCCCGCTGAGCAGAGAGCCCGATGCGGGGCTCGATCCCAGGACCCTGAGATCATGACCTGAGCCGAAGGCAGAGGCTTAACCCACTGAGCCACCCAGGCGCCCCTAAAACTCTGTCTTTAAAGAAACGCGAGGACATGGTATTTTGAATCTCTTCGGCCCCATAGAAAGTGTTTACCCCTGGGGAGTGATGTGCTGGGGAGATAAAATATGGCTCTGCATCCCGAACAACGTGTTTTTTGACAATAGGTTTCATGCCTCATTTACCATCAAAACAATTAGAGTGTAGTCAACATTCACAGAGCAACTTCACCATTTTTCATGAGCGGAGAAAGAGCAGAAATTGTGGATGTCTGCCCAGGGACTGAAGCTTAGAATGAAGTACGGTGCGGCCCTTCTTTGTTTTGATTTGTCCTTTCCAGGTCTCTTCTTCCCAGTTGCTCATTTAAGGAAAATGCCTGCAGACTCCTTCCTCTCCTCTTCCCTCCTCTTTTTTCCCAGTCTTATCCCCGGAAATAATTGCGCACGTGCTGCAGGAATGCCCGGCCGTGTCTTCCCGAGGTGTCGTGTATCTGTTGTGACAGGTCTTTTGCAAAGTCGTTTCACAGGTTTGCCATGTCAGCCCCTGCGCCTCTCCATCTGTGTCCCTTCACTGCCTCTAGCTCTTCTCCGCTGAGCTCCCCCATCTCCGCTTCTCCCTCCATTAATAACAGACACGCTCAGAGTTTCCAAGCTATGCCTGGCTGATGGCTCAGTATCTGGTTTATTTTCCCAAACTGTGGTCTCCGGGGCGTGAACCTGGGCTTCTCTGAGCGTCAGGGTCAGGACTTTATTCAGTCCTCTCTTGAGTTTGATGAGGCAAGACTGAAAAAGTAAAAAAGTGCCCTAGACTTGAGAAAACATAATTAGATTTTATTAATTAAAAGACACTTGATTTTTTAAAAAAGATTTTATTTATTTATTTGACAGAGATCACAAGTAGGCAGAGAGGCAGGCAGAGAGAGAGAGGGAAGCAGGCTCCCCACTGAGCGGAGGGCCCGATGCGGGGCTCGATCCCAGGACCCTGGGATCATGACCCGAGCCGAAGGCAGAGGCTTTAACCCACTGAGCCACCCAGGCGTCCCACAAGGGCAAAACTATTTTTAAATAAAAATCAAGTATCTTTTAGAGCCACCTGAGTGGCCTTTTTAAAATAGATTTTATTTCTAAGAGCTGTTTTAGCTTCACAGTAAAAATGGGAGGAAAGTATGGATGTCTCATGTATATTTTGTCCCCAACATACACAGCCTCTCCTATTATCAACATCCACCACTGGAATGGAGGCATTTGTGACAGTTGATGTAGTGACATTGACACATCATTATCATCCAAAGTCCGTAGTTTACCTTAGGTTTCACTCTTGCTGTTGTATATTCTGTGGGTTTGGACAAGTGTATAATGACATGTGTTATCATTATAGTTTCATACAGCGTAAGTTTCAATGCCCTAAAAATCCTCTGTACTCTGCCTATTCAACCCTCCCTCCCCACGAACCCCTTGCAGCCACTGATCTTTTTACTGTGCCCATAGTTTTACCTTTTCCAGAAAGTCATATAATTGGAACCATATAGTATGCAAGCTTTTCAGATTGGCCTTTTTCTCATAGAAATATGCATTCATGTTTCCTCCATGTCTTTTCATGACTCGATAGCTCATTTAGTGTTAGCACTGAAAAATATTCCATTGTCTGGATGATTCACAGTTTATTTATCCATTTGGCCACTGAAGGACATCTTGGCTGCCTCTAAGTTTTGGCAATTATGAATAAAGCTGCTATAAACATCCGTGTACAGGTTTTGTGTGGACAGAAGTTTTCAGCTCCTTTGGGTAAACACCAAAGAGTGTGATTGCTGGATCATATGGTAAAAGCATGTTTCATTTTGTGAGAAATCACCAAACTGTCTTCCAGAGTGGCTGCACTGTTTTGCATTCCCAGCAGCCAAAAGTGAGAGTTCATACTGCTCCACATCCTCACCAACATTTGTCTTTGTCCATGTTCTGGATTTTGGCCATTCTTACAGGTGTCTAATGGCATCATTTCAATTTGCATTTTCCTGATGGCATACCATGTGGAACGTCTTTTCATATGCTTATTTACCAGATGTATGTCTATCTTCTTTAGTGAGGAGTCTTTAAGGTCATTGGCCCATTTTTCAATCAGGTTGTTTCCTTATTGTTGAATTTTAAGAGCTCTTTGTATATTTTGGGTAACAGTCCTTTCTCAGATGTGTCTTTTGCAAATATTTTCTCCCAGTCTATGGCTTGTCTTCTCCTTCTCTTCACAGTATCTTTCCCAGAGCAGAAATCTTTCATTTTAATGAAGTCAAGCTCATCAGTTACTCCTTTCATTCATCCTGCCTTTGTTTGGTGTTATATCTGAAGAGTCATCGCCAAACCA